TGGCCCAAAGCAACTAGTCTTTCGGTGATGCCCCCCAATTCGTATCAATAAACCCCCTGTGTGCTGATGTTTCGGGTGGATAACCTTAATTAATACACCAGTTGTGATTAATGGTCTGAATCACGTGACACCCTTTATTTCATTGAATATTTGAAAGGAATCTCAGTGTACTTTAAAGAAATATTCACACCAAGCAAACTGAGACAATATTGAACTTTTATAGGTACGGGACTCAGCGACTCTCCAGCCGGTTTGGCTGCCTATATCCTGGAGAAATTCTCCACGTGGACTGACACGGAGTACGTGCAGTTGCTGGACGGAGGCTTGACGGCAAGGTTTACTCTGGACGAGCTTCTCACCAACGTCATGGTGTACTGGGTAACAACTCCATCACTTCCAGCATGCGGTTTTACAAGGAGAACTTATCGGAGAAGGTTATGAACTACAACTTTAGGAAGTACGTTTTGGGTTAGATATTTCCTAAGCCTTAACCGAGGTTAAAAACAGTGAATTATGTAAACGATACCAACAATATTGTTCTCCGCCAAGCGATGTATTTCGTCTGTTTAAAAGCGTAAACATTTCCCAGTGTGTAAACTGATACGAATTATTCTTATTTTATTTTTTTCCGGATGTTCGCGTAAAGTTACTAAGAAGCTAGTCGCTCAAGGAAAGTGTACTTCTGTAGTTTTAAGTATGTAAAATGCTGTCTACACGGATTAAAACAGTTTTTAGTCATCTTGAGTAAATTTTAAAATAAGTATAGGTAACTTATAGGTATAGGTAACATCCATACTGTTGTTTTTGTTTTGAATAAAGATGGACTAATTGTATGTTCACGTGGATGTTCAGTCTTTTTCTGGCACAAGCTCAGTCAGTGTTAGAAAAATTCAGTATTACTTGTCGAATCTCTGTTATTCTGTAAAATTTGTCTTATTCACTCATGGGGGGAAATGAGTTTTATGTGAAAATACCACGTTTATTATACTAATCTTATTAAATTCCAACAACTTATTGTGTGAAATATAAATGGATAGGTAATAGAAGGGAATCCAATTATAACTGTTTTACAGTCTAATCAACATATACATACAAGTCTTCACCGCCTACCTCAACTGTTTGGCTACTCTATTCGACTAGTGAGATTTCACTATCTACCTTAGAACCCACAGACAGCCATAAGTTTCACAACCCTTCTGTGTTGAACCTGGCGAAACTTGAAATGTCTCTTTGAGGAGAAGCTTGTTTCAGAAACTACTTGAGCGCTAACCGTCTCTGAACTAATAGGCTAAATGGAAGATAGCTAGCTAACAACACCTACCTCAACTGTTTGGCTACTCTGATCGAATCGTGGAGTGTGATTGTCTACTTCGTTAAACACCCACAGGACTAAAGTCCAAAGCTACGACTCGCAAGTCAGCACGCTAAATATTAGGCCCCAGCCTGTCCGGTTAAAGAGATATTCTGTTATTTATCTGTAAAGTTTACCAAAATGTCTTATTTTTTCGTCATAATTTCGGGTCGAACTGTGGATCCTTGGGTCCGTCGTTCACGTCCTGTTATAGCAAGAAATAAAACAAATTGTGCTTCAACCTTTGGGGTCGTGGATGCATTATAGGAGTGACAGTCAAATCCCACTGATCGGCCATACAAGTAGCCCACGAGTGGACCAAGTGCTTTTTCTCTAACATATCAATTGACATTATGGGAGGTTAGTGCAGATAACGCCCGGAGTTTAGAACTGTAACTCTGGTTGCATTACAAAAAAAATGGCAATAACGATACAATTAATAAATATCAAGATACCCTTCAACAAAGATATAAAACATCCTTTAACAATCATATAGTTACAATACAAAGTTAAAATGTCAATAGTCATACAATACTAAAATATAGGCCTTTTAATAAAGATAATAATAAAATATACAAAACACACCTTTATCATAATAATACAAAATATAATACACAAAATAGCAAAATTAATGATAGCAAATACACCCCACCCCCAAAAAAAGAACGGAACACGTACAAGTTTTACATATTTTTCTTAAAATCAAGCACAGTGAAACATTACAGTAAATAAAAGCCTTAACCGTTGACCATCATAGTGAAATAGCTCTTCATAAAATACATAACTCCAACGTTGTATGGTACACAACTAAACTACCAACGTTGTATGGTACACAACTGAAGATTCACAACCAGACCGTAAGCTAGCACGGCTCCAAGTGTTACCGAAGAATCACACCCAGACTGTAAGCTAGCATGGCTCCAAGTGTTACCGAAGAATCAAACCCAGACCGTACTAGTTTACGTTTTATATTTAGGAGTGTCAGTCTCTTACAGTTTGCTTTTGGGTTTGTATTGCAGATTGAGTCTCTGGGCTTCAATGTGGTTAGTATTGCAGATTGAGTCTCTGGGCTTCAATGTGGTTTGTACTGCAGATTGAGTCTCTGGGCTTCAATGTGGTTAGTACTGCAGATTGAGTCTTTGGGCGCTAATGTGGTTAGTATTGCAGATTGTGTCTCTGGGCTTCAATGTTTAAGAGTTGTTTGATGCCACAAAGTAAACTCTTAATCATGTGGAATAGCACGGCTCCAAGTGTTACCAGCTTACGGTCTGGGTGTGATACTTCGGTAACACTAGTTTACTGTCTGAGTATGACTCATCCATTGTGACCACTTTTGCAATGAAAACAATTGCAGTGGTGTGAAGAAATCTGTACTGTAAACGGACCCGTACAGCCAAGGTTCGCAGTGTTTAATTTTGAGACGTTACACACTGTATTCCGTACTCTTGTCACGTGACTACATAGCAATTTGGATGAAATAAAAATAATAACGAAAAGTGTAGTCTTATAACGTAACAACTTACTATATCACGTGTTCCCGGCCATCTTTCAGAAGTATCCAAACCCACTAGCCATCCAGATGTTAGTATTTTCTTTCTCCAAAACGTTTACGATTCCTTGCAATATTTTAAATCAAGGAATCTCTAATTCTATCGTGTGTGGTTTACAAGGCTTAGTAATAAATTGATTTTATTGAATAAATTTGTTTATTTAGTACAAGTTAAGCCTAAATATAGTTCAGTGTTAATAAATGTTAAAAATTAAAACTTTTTGATTTAGCCTTCCACTGACTGTGCCGACGGGAATAGCCCATTTTCCTAATGAGCTTATCATGATGCCAAGAAATATCGCTAAACATAAGTTCAGGAATATCGTTCGTTACACGGATATGCCACGAGGGGGCCATTTTGCAGCGTTCGAAGAACCGAAACTACTAGCAGACGATATATGGAAATTTGTGGAAGAAGTTGAAAAATTAGGGACAATAAATGTTTAAGGTGATTAGGCTTGGTCTTTACTATGAACAAAAGTGTAATGGTCAGCAACCGTCGAGTTCAGAGTGATTCGTGAGGGACTCGTCTTGAAAGGACGACATTTTGAAACCTTCTCTTCAAGTGTCTGAACTTGGCAGTTTCTTCCAAACCTTGTTTGTTCAACCCTATAATACCCAGCTTATAACAGATTCATCCATGTTAAGTGATTGATGTCGATGTATTCGAATTAATTCTGTTTGATTTGTATTTGGTAATAAAATATGAAACTCACTGTCTCATTCATCATTTGTTGATGACTTATATCCGTTTCGGGCAATTTCACTCATCACCAGTATCCGTGGGCAAGGGAAGATCGAAATCTATAAGCCTTATTTCTTTAAGGAATATTGTGTTACAATATTAAGAGTAAAAGGCAAGGGAAGATCGAAATCAATAAGCCTTATTTCTTTAAGGAATATTATGTTACAATATTAAGAGTAAAAAGCAAGGGAAGATCGAAATCAATAAGCCTCATTTCTTTAAGGAATATTATGTTACAATATTAAGAGTAAAAAGAAAGGGAAGATCGAAATCAATAAGCCTTATTTCTTTAAGGAATATTGTGTTACAATATTAAGAGTAAAAGGCAAGAGAAGATCGAAATCAATAAGCCTTAATTCTTTAAGGAATATTATGTTACAATATTAAGAGTAAAAGGCAAGATCGAAATCAATAAGCCTTATTTCTTTAAGGAATATTATGTTACAATATTATGAGTAAAAGGGAAGATCGAAATCAATAAGCCTTATTTCTTTAAGGAATATTATGTTACAATATTAAGAGTAAAAGGGAAGATCGAAATCAATAAGCCTTATTTCGGTAAGGAATATTATGTTACAATATTAAGAGTAAAAAAAACAACATTTTTTGAGCACTGATGATGGTAACTTTTACTTAAACTAATCGACTGAAATACCTAATAAAGATTATTTTTTCATTGTGCCAAAAAAACGATTTTTTTAGTCCTAATAAGACCAGGCTTCTTATGGTGATTGTGTGTACGTGTATGGTGTATTTAGTTCTTTTATTCACCACGGTGAAGGTTATGTTTGTAGAGGATATTAAGAATTCAGAACGTTGATGGTATTAATTTATTCTTCCAAACTATTTAAGATATTAAATAATTGGTAAATCTGAATTACAAGTTATCTTAAACCCTGGTAACTCTTGGCAAAAGTTATCTTAAACCCTGGTAACTCTTGGCAAAAGTTATCTTAAACCCAGGTAACCCTTGGCAAAAGTTATCTTAAACCCTGGTAACTCTTGGCAAAAGTTATCTTAAACCCTGGTAACTCTTGGCAAATGCTGGCAAGAAAATACAGATCAAATTGGTTGGTAATATAATTAATGATTATTTCGTACTTTCTAATTATCAACCTGTATTTGTTGACCAGATTGTCCCAATTCTTTACTGTTGCCTCACAGTGGCAGAGCGATATGACTATGGTGGCCAGATTATAGATAACCTATTATGTAGCTTTGTACTTAATTACAGAGAAGACGTACAATTTTAGTTCCTTCTGAAACCAATAGGAGATCATATATTCTTATTTCGTTATTGTTTGTAAAAATACTTGTTTCAGGATTATTCATTAATAAAGTCCAACTCGCTTGAAATCTGGTAAGTAGGCATCAAACGCTACTTTTAATTTTATAAATATTGAGGTGGTATAATACAAAAAACCTTATGTATGAATATTAAATTCACACACGCCCATCTATTACACCGATAATTTAAGAAAATATTCCATTAAATAACGTTAAAAGATATAACTAACTAGTGGCGACGTTTCTGTCATCTTTGTTAACTCACCTCATCTGATCTACATGAAACTGTTAATGTTGTAACCTCGAAGGTTTCACTCATTCAAAACAAGGATTGTTTGAAAATGATGCTGGCAATATGTGATAATTGGCCAAACACATTAATAACAAGTTAATGATCAACTCGTAAAGATAACGACGTGTTGCGATCAGATATATATATATATATATATATATTGTATACTAATATCGAGAACCACCACCAGGAAACTATAAAACATGGCAACACGGTAGGCCTAGTGGTGAATATCATTCGAGATCTCTGCCATCATTCTCAACGCCACTATTAGGGCTGATATTCTTGGAAACAACAGGGTCTTCTAAAGCATCTTTCAGGATGTTGACAAACCTAAAAACGTCTGCGAAACTGTTGTACAGTGGAACAGGGGCCACTCGGATAACAGAAGGCAAACGGACGTCACACTAAAAAAAAAGAACAATACAGAAGTTGTTATAAATGATCCAAATATTTGGCTAAAAACAATCATATTCATTAAAGGCACGATAGAGTTAAGAGCTATACAACAGTTAACAACAAATAAACCTGCCATATTTTAACAGCTTTCTGAACGGTATCTTATACGATAAGATACAATGAAATTGGTTCTACGAAGTAATAGTGAACCTAGGACTAGAATTATATTATTATTTATAAAGAGAGTCATTTAGCAACAAGGTGAAAAGATTCTAACTGATCAGTTATTTCGTAAACGTGATCGAATTTCTTGTTGAATAACTTTTTGTTACTTACTGGTTGTTACTTAATTAATTTCTTAACACATTACGATATTTTAAGTTATTCAAAGATATAAAAGTATTAAACCAAACTTGCCACTACTCCTCTTCGTTGAAATTCCTTTTGTATGACATCTAAAGGGATATCAAACGTTAGGCTTAACTGATTACCCCTCTCGCGCGCATCACGTGAAGTTACAATTTTCATACGAGGAGATGTTTCCGAACATTCTTGAATAAATCGCTTATCGATTAGGTACTCCAGGTAGCCAGTGAGAAGGAACTGCTTGGCAACAATTTCTTCCATGCCGACTTGCTCAAAAATCTGAAACGAAAGAAGTGCTATGTTTATTAATCAATCTGTGATTATACAGTTTTGTCCGAAGTGTAACTTGAAATACTGAAGACTTTCGAAACGTACAAGTCATTAGAAATAATGTTTACAATCATATACACATATCCAAACACTATTAAAAATAACCTAACTTCGAAGATAAGATAAAAAAAAAAAAAACAAGACGTTTATATTATACCATACCAATCCCGTGATGTAGGCGAAGCCGGAAGACATGTTGACACGAGAGTTTCTGAACATAAAATAACCTGACTTCGAAGATAAGATAAAAAAAAAAAGACGTTTATATTATACCATACCAATCCCGTGATGTAGGTGAAGCCGGAAGACATGTTGACATAAAATATGGAAACCAAAACAATGCCATTTTTCTTCACATGAGAGATTCTGGCCATCAAATTGATTGATAATCAACAATAAATTTATACAAAACAGATAACTACACAAACAGAAGAATGGTTGAAAGTTGATTAATCAAAAACCTTCTTAATTTAAACACCTCCCAAGGTCAGTTTAAACTTAACAACTACCTGTGTCCTTAAGGGAATTCCAATATCAGGTATCACGTAGGCGTTTATTGACCAAATTTTTCCTGCCAGAAGACAACGTGTGACTGAAGAGGATGCACGAAGTTGTTAAAACTAGTTTATCTAATATCAGACTTCTGACAGTTTGTTCCGTTTACTGTGGTTTTTCACTAATTGCTATACACGAAACTGTGTTCTTTTCTTATCATTAAAACCTGAAATTTTGTCTGAAAAACGGAGCACCACAAAGACCAGAATTACTTATCTCAATAAACAGGCCTGCGATGGTTTTATTGTCTTAAAATTTGTACATGTCTTACAGTAATTCCTGTACGCTGAATCCGAAAATGATATCCATCACGTACAGATTTTTTTCACAAAACGTCACGTGTACTTACATAAGTGAATAATTTTCATTGCAATCATGGTCACATTTTGTTATGCTTAAAATGTTGACAACCACTGGCTATAGATTTCTCTAGACCAATCGCGACGTGAGAGTCTTATCGATCGTTCTAGAACGCACCACTAGTATATAGACGGTTAACAGGCCGCATAACGTGTCATTTCTGGATAATATTTGTTCGTGCGTGCACTTTGACATTATTTTTTTTTCTTTTCAATAATATGCAATATTGATGGTATTTTTCTTAAAATATTTTTGTGTAACTCGTATGTTACTAGGGCAACAGTCACAGACCCAAAAGAAGGGGTTTATATCTGTAATACTCTACCCCCCCCCCCACCAACTACGCTAAGGGATTGATCATCATTTATAACTCACCCGCGGCTTAAAATGGGGGGAAATATGGTAATTCGCATATTTGAACCCAGCTCCAGCTCCGAAATCCAGAGATCTTCCACAGAGATAACCCGTGCCCTCTATCAGTACTGGTTTGAATGTGGATATAGATTTCAGTTACTGTTAGTAATTCAACAAAATACTTAAACTTATCCCTGTCAGTTGCTACTGCTAAAGTAAAAAAAAGAGAAGATATGAATTCACCTGAAAAATAATGAAGATATTCATACATTCTGTTCAAACTTTTAATAGATATTTTCAGATTTCTATAATTTTACCATAACACGTTTATGTCTCTGCTTGACAAACATTGATTTTCACTAAATTTAATATTTGTTAACACAATTTTATTATTTAACTGGTTATGTTAATGAAGAAAAGCTATAAAGTTTCAGAAATTGTTTACCTCTATTTTATGTCTCTGCTTGACAAACATTGATTTTCACTAAATTTAATATTTGTTAACACAATTTTATTATTTAACTGGTTATGTTAATGAAGTTTCAGAAATTGTTTACCTCTATTTTATGTCTCTGCTTGACAAACATTGATTTTCACTAAATTTAATATTTGTTAACACAATTTTATTATTTAACTGGTTATGTTAATGAAGTTTCAGAAATTGTTTACTTCTATTTTATAACATTGCCACAACATATCCTTTGGCGCTTTAAATATCACAGAATTTAAGAACAATTATCTAAAGAAGAGCAACAAGAATTATACCTCTAAGCTGGCCATGAGTGTTGCGCTCAGTAATGGTGGAGGATTGCTCAGTTTAAACATGTCTGCTCCATCACAAGGATCAAATTCTAAAAGTGACATAAAATGTGTTACATACGTAAAATTATAATCGTTCTTTAAAGCTGCATGGTGTTATATTTATTATGTCTATTTACTTATAGATTGTTTCGTACTAACTTCGTGTCACTAAGAAGATTTTAGGTGTAGTATAGACAATACAATTCATTAAGAGGGAAAGTCACATTTTTAATTACAGTACAGACAATACAATTCATTAAAGGGGAAGGTCACATTTTTAATAACAGTACAGACAATACAATTCATTAAGGGGGAAGTCCCATTTTTAATTACAGTACAGACAATACAATTCAGGGGAAGTCACATTTTTAATTACAGTACAGAAAATACAATTCAGGGGGAAGTCCCATTTTTAATTACAGTACAGACAATACAATTCATGGGGAAGTCCCATTTTTAATTACAGTACAGACAATACAATTCAGTGGGAAGTCCCATTTTTAATTACAGTACAGACAATACAATTCAGGGGGAAGTCCC